TATCTTTTTAGAGACATAAATGCTTGGAGGAAGTTCCAAGGACCATCACACATTCACACATCAGTGTGAACTATTTCAATTTTTTTGTTTGTTTCCTACACTTAGTTAGAATTAGCTGATTGGAGAACTAAAGAGACAGGTCTAGGCAAATGGGAGTTTGTGGATAGGTTTTGCATTTCAAAGATAGTGACACCATCTGAGACGAGAGTATTAGAAGTAGGATTGGGATATAGGCCAACACCCTTAATAACCATTCAGTATTTCCAGGATCCAATGTGATTCCTGTTACCAAGAATGCATATGATATGTTTGTTGATTGAAGAATCTTCAGTTTTCTACAGCTGGCCTTAAACTCAGGAAAGAGGGACAACAGTTTCTTCACTTTCTTCTCAATCTCCATCCCTTCTCCTACTCTTTTGATGCGGAGACCCTTGCATCTAAGAAACATAACTTGGGCTATATCTATTGATTTTCATCCAAAGCTACGCTTTAGGTTTTTTCATTAAAGTAGGACAATTGACTTCTAACTCCATGGAGACTGTGTGTAAATTGGGTCCTGGCTATACTTCTAATTAAACCTTGACTTAGGCACTGAGGAGAATGGAACCTAATCTTTAATTAAGTATTGAAGGCTGGAGAAAATAACTGTGTTTTTAGCTACCTTGTTAAGTAATAGAATGTCTTCTCTTTAACTGTTATTTCTTTTGATGTCAGGTGTGTGTGTTTAAAGGAACTCCACTAGTATTTTAAAAGGGCAGTGTCGAACGGCTTTGCAATATCCTTGCCTTCTAAATAAAAGCTTGAAATTGCAGACAAGCACACCCCCCAGCTTGACGTCTTGCACTTCTTTCTTTCATCATCTTCACTGAAAGTGGGCAAGGTAAGAGATCATTGCTGCTGCTTTTTCCATCAACTGAGTCCCGGGATCTCCTTCAGTGTCAACTTTCCTCCATAAAATGAGAAAAGGGAGACTATTTTTTTCCTACTCTCTGTATAACAGAAGATTCTTTAAATATAGACTAAAAGAGTATCAAAATGTAGTAAAGATCAGGCTATTCCTGGGAAGTGGATAGAATACACATGTAATCTGAAAAATCTCAGCCTTCTGTTTCCAAACCTTTTAATCAGCAAAACAGAAGAGTGTGTGTATGTGTGAGTGTGTGTGTGTGTGTGTGTGTG